CTTACCGCATTCGCTACAGATTTGGTGGCGTCCCTCGTACTCCACGTAATAGTTGATTCATTCAATTTTGAACTTTGATAGAAACAGTTTTGTCAGATCAACTTCAATGCTGACTCGGGCGTACTTGCCACGGTCACCTGTTTGCGTTGCTCGATCCACCCGGACTGGACGTCTAATTCTCTCCGCAATACGTTCCACGACTTGCTTATTAATGAATTCCCTGGGGAGACCCGGGAACCGCGCCCAAACCATGGTGGAAGCCACCTCTGCCGATTTCGGGTCGAAGTTTTTCCGCCATGGGCGCACAGTGATATAAAAATCACTAATCATCCACGGTCCGCCCGCTGCTGCGTATTCGTAATCAATCTGGCTAGTAAACCGCACGACATAGTATCCAAACGGCAAGCTCGAGACCTGGATATTGCCGCACTTAGCCCATTGAACTTCCAACCTTCGAGAGATGACAGGGAAAGGGAACGTTCGGCCAAGGACTTTCACTATGAGTGCTGAGCGCCATTCTCTTCGCCATTGCTGCTTCTCCATCGCCGTAAAGGCAATGGTGGGACACAAAGGATCATCATCTTCTGGGATTTCATCGTCAAGGTCATCCTCCTTCATGGCGGCAGCTACGTCTTCGGAGTCCGATTCTGCGACGTACCACTCCTCTTCCTAATATAGGTTACTGAAAAGTCCACAAGTTCCTCCGCTCCATCATTCTCCATGTTCACGTTCCTGTCGCTGGCCTCACCTTCTTCCATAGGGGCGGGGACAGGCTCCTTCGTGCTATCAGCCCCAAAGAGGGGATTATCTCGCATGGGCTTTGCTTTTTTCTTTGGCTGTTGGGTTTCTCGCTCTCGTTTTGAATCCGGTGACGAGGTTATCGACGGGGGACGGCGTACACCCGTGCTAGGATCAATCATACCTGCGTTCGGGGGAGAGGCCCCCGGCGCCGGCGCAGCCATGGTGTCGTCGCGCGCGAGCAGGGGGAGGTCGTAGGTCTGAGAATCGCCGCTTCGTTTATGTCGGAGCTAGGGTTTCAATTATAAGATTTTACAACCAATAAGATTCCGCCGGAAACATACTAGAGAGGAGAGGAGGAGGAGGGAAGAGACTTAAAAAAAGCAAATTATTTTTTTATTTAATCATTGTATTTGTGAGGATGTGAGGTGGAACTAAAAAATATTTTTATTTTATTTTATATTTGTCAATTGCCACATCACTCATTTAACGGTCAACTATTTAAGTTGACTGCCACATATGATGGATTTAACGGAGATGAAACTTTTTAGTATTCCTAGTGACCAACCTTGCAATATACCCTTCAATACTAAAAGCACAATCGACTTTACACCATTCATCAACCCTTCAATACTATAACTTTTTAGTAATCCCAGTGATTAAGCTAAAGATTTCGAGCATGACCAGCTTGCATAGTGTGACGGAGTAGGGGTGTTCAAATGATTACCATGGTTATAACCAAACCAAATAAGGCTAAATTTTATTAACCATGGAATGCAATATCATAACCAAACCGTCCAAACTAATACAACAACTAAATTAACCAAACTAAAGTTTAATCGGTTTGGTTAATTGGTTAACCAGATTAACCAATATAAAATCATATTATCATCAAGTGAGAAAATTTCGGTTAATTTATCAATTCACAATTTATATAATGAATAAAACATAACAATCAACACATAGTTATAGTTGACCCTTAACATAAATACATGCAACTAAGACAATTATCTTACGGTTAGCATAGAAGTATTCACCTAACAAAAATTTATCACAATGGTATGGATTAATGAATTGTTGTGTTTGTTTGAATTGACTTAGTCTTTTAGCAATTTTCATAGGCTGAAAAGGACCTTGCTTTCAAGTTTTCATCCAACATAATGTATGAGATTTATCTAAATTAGGCGGTCATATGTTGTGGTCTACACTTAGGTCACACAATTCGTGGCATAGGGCTTGACGCTCAAGTTCTGGAGCGCAAAAACGCGGATCTGAAGGAGTTCGCCATAAATCCGCGAATTATTATCTACTGGAGCGCGTATTTTGTAAAGAAATTCGCGACTTTATGATGACTCGATATTTGCACATGTTTTTCCCTTTGTTTCTTGATCGTTTGAGATTTAATTATCGCGTCTTTGCCCTATTTTACGCTAGGTTGTGTTCCTTTGTCACATTTCAGGTCCTAGCACATAAAGTGAAGCATAGGCGCAAGTTTCAAGTCAATCAGAGATCAATTGGCGATTAGAGAGAAGAAACTCGGGCATGACCTGAAGAAGAATGGATTTCTACCTCACTTGATGGACAAAGAATCATGCAAGCTTGTCATGAAAAGAAAGAGGACAAGACTACGAGCGTGTGGGATCAAACGGCGACTGATTCGGAGTCCGGACAAGGGAGAAACAAAGCATTGAATATAGGGGAACAGGTTCGGCAGTAAAAACACGCGCGCGCCTAAAGCAAAACACGGCCGTGCCCATATTTAGGCACGACCGTGTTTTGGCCGACGCGCGCGGGCGTGTTTTTAACACGGGGCAAAGCACGGGCGGGCAAAACCAAAGCACGACCGTGCCCTCGACCTTGTTTTGCCCAGAATCGGATTTTTAACCCGAATTCGAGCCAAAGGAGAGGGAGAGCTGGGTTTTGGATCCCAAACACCCAAGGGACGAACCAAAGAGAGAGAGGGCGATTTGAGGGCATTCTTGGAGTGGAATTGGAGGATTTCTTTGCCTTGGAAGCTCGAGGAACAAGCCCGGACTTGAAGACTGATCATCTGAAGCTTCTTACTGTAGTCTCTCTCTTCTCTATGGAGTAACTTCCCTTCACTTAGGTTTTGAGGAACCCTAGCTATGTTTGTTTGATTGGATGATTATATGAGTACTCTGACTTGATAATCTTGAGTTCATATTCAATCTATGCATGTTTTCATGATTCAATTCTGCTTTAGTCGAGATTATTGATTCTGTTTTGATCCTATGAGAGGGAATACCTGATTAGGTCAATAGAGCACCATAGATTGATAGTAGTGGATCGATTGCTTTAGTCGAGGGTTGATTCACTGCTTTGTATCGATTGAGAACCTCTTTCGATAGAGGGAGTCTAGTTCAGAACGCCTTGATCAGTTGTTCTAGAGAAGGATACATCCCTCTAGGCAATTGACTCAAGAGGGCCTTGTTCCTTTAGTCGAGACTCAAGGTCTAGTCAAGGATTCTCCGCATTGTGAATGAAAGTGAAACAAGTTGGAAATCATCAATCGTTAGTCTGGCTAGTGGCTAGGGGGAATCATACCTAAGTGAGTTCCCAACCTATAATTAGATTAACTTTAACTGTAGTTTGCTAGAGTAGTTTTAGTTCTTTCATCTTAATCTGGTTTGCTAAATAATAAACTGAAGCTGAGTAATAGTAACTCTAGAGACCCGTGGATTCGATATTTATCACTTGAGCCACTATACTGCAGTCCCTTCCATTGGTTACACTTGGCCTTTGTTAGGTGTTGTGTCGTAGCGAGTCACTTTATTTTGCAGATATAGCAGAAGAGGAAGTGTCGACAATAGCGATTGTCGAGATGGTGAAGGAGATGAAATCGATGGTTGGGTTGATGGAGGAAGGCGGGAAGAGGCCGGAATCTCGGCATGCATCGGAAAGGACTTTACCAGTTGGGGAGATCTGGGAAGAGATCTCCTAGAATGTTTAGTGAATCAGTGAGAGAGAGAGAGAGAGAGAGAGGCACCAACGATGACAGATCTGACGATGGACTAGAAAGAAGAGATGAGCGGAAGGGATTTTCGCAAAGGCTCCCTACGAGTTTGTTGGTTGCTGAAAATGGAAGATAGAAACAAGACAAGAGGCGAATTGGAGGTCTGCGTCTGAGGTGGAAGTTAGCTAGGGTTGCCTCAATCACCAACTATTTATATTACACGTTGAGTGACTATTTTATCCTCCACTATCACAATAAATTTCCCGCTGCCACAAAAAAGGAATTCATATAATTAATATACTTTTACCTCTTAACCTCCCTTAAAAAGATTAAGCTGCATATTAAGAAAATGTGTTGGATTATTGACTTTTTTTTAAAGTGTTAGATTATTGCGAACTTATTCTTTCAAAAAGGTACTTTATTCTTACACTTATTTTTCATATCGTTGAAAAAATTAATTAATTAACAAAAACAATATAATATCGCCGAACTGTTCGCGCTCTCAATATCCAATACTTGAAAAATAAACGCTCTCGCGCACCCGCTCCCGCTCCACGAATCGGTAAGCTAAGTCTACACTCTACATATACAAATATACATTATAGGAACAATATCAAGCTTTATATTTTGAGTCTAAAAGGATGAACGTTTAACTCTTGAGTGGTTATTCAAAGTATTAAGTATGTTTATATATTAGATATATAACTAATTATTTATCTGGTTAATTTGGTTTGGCTGGTTAGGAGTGTTTGAAACCAAACCAAACCACCTAAACCAAACAAACTAAGAACTTTAACCAAACCAAACCAAACCAATTATCCAAATTAACCAAACCAAATTATCCAAATAATACTGATTAAAACGGTTACCATGATAACCACACCGTTTGAACACCCCAATGACGGAGGGTGTGTACAAGGTTAAAAACGAATTCACTGGGGTATGGTTGGCCAGAGATGACGGCTTCATGCAAGCAAGTTGCAGCCTGACCCATACTTCCAACGCCGTATCACAAAACTATGCCATATTTCAACGACCACCATGCCTCCAAAGTTGAGGATCGAGAGGGGCCAGCGGTGTCGAAAAAGAGAAAAAAACAGACGACAAACGATCAACAGATAACTGAAATGGACAGGGAAACTGAAAAACAGAATCAAACCCTTGAATGCAACGCTGCGCCGGCCACACATTAATAAAAACACAAAGAATATAAAGAGAGAAGAACCATTCCTACCACGACTCGAACGTGTCTATATATATATAATTAAGAATGAACTTTTCAATCCGGACTTGGAGAGATCTTTTACTATACTGACCAGGCGCCAATTAAGCCATGTATCACAGCGCAACTCTGAGCTCCAATTTGGCCACAAATCGTGGACCAGGCCATATACCGGCAATAAGTCAGAGAGCTCAAACGACTCTAGCAGCAAACACATCAAATATTGAAACGTACACTTTTTCACAGCCCATCTCTCATGAATTGATGAAAGATCCCGCCTTAACTTGGCTCTAGAAGTAAGTTACTGTACACAACATCAACTCTAAAGGAAGCTGGGAAAGAACAGATCCCATATATTACCATCAGCAGCAGTGATACAACAATGCAAAACCATCATCTCCCCTCGGACTTGACCAGCTGGGAGAACACCTTACTCATTGAAGCATTCGAGATGTCATCGTCGATAGGAGACACTCCAAACGGCGCTACAGAGACCGAGCTATCCACTTGGCTGAAGTTGTTGACCTGTGGAGATAGATCGCCGATCATGTTCGTACTGTTATCCTCGGGTTCTCCTGGAGCAACTGCCTCCTGAAGCTGAAGAGCATACTCCAAGTTCCACAACACATCCCCCATGGAAGGTCTATCTACACCGTACTCAGCCAAGCATTTCTCGGCGGTTTCTCCAAACTTCCTCAGCGAATCCGGTCTGATTTTCCCCACCAGAGACTGATCGATGATCTGCTCCAACTGTCCTTTCTTCTGCCACTTCATCGCCCATTCTGCCAAGTTCACCATTTCCCTAGCCAGAGTGGGATCGATAACGGGCCTCGCACATAGTACTTCGAACAACACCACCCCAAATGAATACACGTCTGATTTATCCGTCAGCTGCTGCCTTCTGAAGTACTCCGGATCGAGGTACCCGAAACTACCTTTGACCGCAGTGCTAACATGGGTCTGGTCGATTTCGGGACCAGTCTTTGAGAGCCCGAAATCGGCCACCTTCGCCATGAGATTCTCATCCAGCAATATATTGGCAGACTTCACGTCGCGATGGATAACTGCCTTGGCATAGCCAGTGTGGAGATAATGAAGCCCTCTAGCTGCTCCGATGCAGGCCTCGAGCCTTTCCTTCCACCCCAAGCTAGGATGCTCGGACCCATAGAGATGACTCTTGAGAGTACCGTTCTGCATGTACTCATACACCAAAATCATCTCGTTCTTCTCATCACAGTAACCTATGAGGGAAACGAGATGGCGGTGTCGGAACTGAGAAAGCATCTCAATCTCGGTCTGGAACTCTGCCAGCCCCTGTTGGGATCGAGGGTTGCCCCTTTTACAAGCAACTTCAGTACCATCATTCAGAACTCCCTTGTATACTTTCCCGAACCCACCAATGCCTATAACCCGATTCTCATCAAAGTTGTTCGTGGCATCTGAAACCTGCACGAACGGAATCCGGTACTGGAGGTTGTTGCTAGCAGCTGTTCCATTCGAGTACTTGCTCCCAGTGGTATGAGAATGGCCACTGATCGATATCGGCATCCATGTCTTGGAATGCCCCATGGCTTCCTGCTCCTTTCTTCTTCGGAAAGTCAGAACAAGACATACAACAAAGAACAGTGCAATTGCACATCCAACCACCGCTCCTATAATCGCCCATACTTTGCTCTTGGAACCATGATTTGTTGGAGATACAGCAGCAGAACCACTAAGACTGCCCATGGAGTTGTTCATCTTCATAATCTCGAGCCCATTCAGAAGTGCATCAGGATACGAACCCAAATTACTGGGTCCAATACTCACACGAAGCGTGTTATCAGAGATCAAAGGCGTTACCACATCTCGATAGTAAGCAGCACCAAGAACATTGGACGAAGTTGCGCTGATATCGAAGTCCTTAATAGCCAACAACGAGTTCACATAAACATCAAACACAAGCTGATTAAGTGAACCGTTCTGCCGTATATCACAGAAGTGGAATCTCACAAGATACTGAAACCCAAGATCCACATTGAACTGCCACGTCACATTGAAGTTGTTATTAGGAGTACCTGCTGAAGCCATCTCCGAGGCAGTACCATAGACACTCTTTGGAGCAACCTCCTCTGATGAGCCATCGGCGACATAAGTGACCGCACGAACATTGTTTATCTTCTGCCGAGAGCTCTCCTCGAGTAAGAACTCGCCGTCGGGAATCCAAGTTCGCCACAAGGTGTCATTGGCATAGTTGAGCAATAGCCCGCCCATGTTCACTCTGTAGATTGTTTCCAGAGCTTGCCACACCACTCCGATGAAATCCGCCTTGGGGTTGTACGTGAATGCGCCTTCTTCGATGAGGTTATCTGGCACTGACATCACTTCCATGGCGTTGACATAGGCGAACGAGTTCGCGGATGGGGCGAATGTGATGGGGAGTGTGCTCGATGTTACATTGATGGAGAACTCCTTGACCTTGATACCGTTGACAGTGAACTTGCTGAGAAGGCCGTGGTTTGGCGTGGAGACGTCGAAGCTGAATTGGCTCATGTTGTAAGTTGAGTAGACGAAAGGGTAGAAGTGAAGGCGGATGAAATGGCGGCCTGGTCGGTTGATAGAGAATGTGTAGGTGGAAGGCTTGTCGAAGATTCTTGCGGTTTGGTAGAGAGGTGAGGAATCGTCGGGAGTCGGGTTTGTGGAGGTACTGGCGATGACATGGTTAGGGGTGGAGAGAAGCTTTGAATCGGATTTATCGGCGGAAAATACGCGGCTGCCAACCTTGGTGTCTGAGTCGGATCCACAGTTGACAAGGTAATTATCGGCAGGAACAAAATCTAGGGAGGAACATAGGAGGGCTAAGGTTAAGGAGGAGAAAATCCAGATCAAAGTCCTACTACCCATTTTGGCTAGTATTGAGATCTGGGGTTTGAGAAAAAAAGCCACAGATAGAAGATCAAAAGCATAGGAAGGGTGATTGAGTAAGGAAGTGAGACATCATTCCAACTAATCCAAACATAACAGGGGATTCAATATCAATCAGAGGTGCATAAAAAGAATCAAGCAGAAGAGGGGAAGGGAGGAAAACTATCAAGAACCCATGAAGATTAGAGGAGAGGGAAGGGGAAAGATGGAACTTTCAGAGATCAAAACGAGGTCCAACCAAAACCTAGACGAGAGGCAGAGCCCAGAAATGGCGAAACGTGGGGGCAGAGGGGTATGGTGTGGTTTGGAGAATGATGGGTAGGGTTTCCTTTTCCTGTCTGGCCCCTTCCTCTCCGACTCCAGACACAAAAAAAATATAGCAAATTGACAACCAAAAAATGCTGCAACGAGGCAGCAAGCGATCTGGGGCGCGGGTGGAGGACAAGACAGGGTATTGAGAGAAGATACCCAAGATTAGTTTTCCATTTCAATAAAGTAATAGCAGGTTGGGAACAAAGTGAAGAGAAGTTTGGACATGTAGAGAAGAGAGAGGGAATGGGTCAAACAAAATAACGCAGAGGAAGAGATCAGTTATGGCTTTTTCCTTGAGAGAGAGCGGGCCGGCCTAAACGAGATGAAAGACTTGAACATTTTTCGCTGGCACTCCGACAAAATAACAGTTCTTTACTTCTCTTCCCCGTCTTTATGTATTTGGTAGAAGAGACAGAGACTGGGAGACTGGGATTTCCTCTAAAAAAGACTCGGAGAGAATTCTTGGTGTGGCTTTAATGGAGGTCGTGGTTGGAGGAACGGTGGGCATCACTATACCAAATCAATGGACCGATGACACCGAATCAAATATAATTTGGTCTGGTTCTTGGCAGGGGCGGAGCCAGGATTCAGAAGTTGGGGGGTCGAATTTTTTTCCATAGGATCGGTCAAAAATTAAAACAATAATAATATATGATATGACCAAAATTTATTAATGTTACCGTGCATACATTATTTAAGATAATTAAAAAATCTAAACATATGATATGAACTATATTTTTTTGTCAGTATGTATGTTCAAGATAAATAATAAACGACAAAGAAAAAACTAATCTTTCTTTTTTAACTTTTACCATGTTATTCTTTGTTATTGTAATTGAACAATAATTGTATATGCATATAGTATTTGCAAAATAAAATTGATATTTAAGAAAAACCTAAACTAAAGTTAAGTAATTGGGTTTAATTTTATTCAAAAGCTGAACTAAAGTTAAGTATTTAAGTTTAACTTTAAGCAAAAATTAAAGAAAAGTTAGGAAAACTAATAAATTTGCCGCCGCTGGGGATTGAAACAATGTACAGCCATAAGACAAACCAACAACAAGACCACTAGACTATAAGAAACTACATTGACACACTTCTGTGCATTCCGATAATTATATTAGACTTAAATTATTTAATAATTTTGAAAATTCTCGATGTATTTATATGTGATCTACGAAATCGAGCCTTAAGGTAGCTCCGCCCCTGGTTCTTGGTCCCTTGAATTTTATATTAATACGATATTTTGGTCCGAATTATATCAAAACTTTCTACTTTGGTTTATGGTTTCTGAAATTGCTCTCCTTGACCTGAACTATGCACTATATTTTCTTGTTTGGTCTAGCACGGATTTTGACCGTCAAATTAGACGGTCAACTCCATTGACCATTAGTCAAGCGCCAGGTCACTTGTCACGTCAGCAAACCCAAAATAAAAATTTTGGATTTTGGAAGTTTTGTAATTATTTTACGTTACCCAACTTACGAATTTTGTTTTGTTAATTATTATTGTTATTAGAAAATGAAATGAAATAAATAAATTAAAATCCCAAATTTTTAATTTCGAGTTTGCTGACGTGGCAAGTGACCTGGCGCTTGACTAACAGTCAATGGAGTTGACCATCCAAATTTACTGTCAAAATTTCGCATTGGGCCAAGTGTGGAAGTATGGTGCATAGTTCCGGCCAGTGGAGCAATTTCGAAAACCACGGCCCAAAATAGAAAGTTTGGGTTAGTTCAGGCCAAAATAAGGTATTAACCCAATTTTATAAGGGTTATAGGTATAATATGCCCCTCTACTATTTTGTTTTATCAAACATACCCCTCTATTATTTGTTTCCATCAAATATGCCCCTGTACTTTTGAAAAATTATCAAACATACCCTTCTGTTAATATTTTCATCCAAAAATCAATAACCACGACCGAACTTTGATTTGGGCGACACAAATGTCTAAAATATCCCTAATAATTTAATTTTAGAATATTTGTGGTTCTTTTGTATATCCAAATAAATCTAATAATTTCACTTCAACGAGACCAAGAGAAATAAAATAAGGGACAAAACTGAAATTTTCCTTCCATTTGTCGATGTTGGGTCGTCTAAATCTCGGTTCAACCATGATTGACGATTTTTTCAACGAAAATTTTAACAGAAGGGCATGTTTGATAATTTTTTCAAAGTATAGGGGCATGTTTGATGTAAAAATAGTAAATGACATGTTTAATAAAATACAATAGTAGAGGGCCATATTATACCTATAACCCATTTTATAATTACTGAAGGAAAATTGACCGAATTAATATTTGGACCGGACCAAAGCGGACAAAATGCGCTATTAGTCTGGTCCTTGGTCCTGATATATGTTTCACTATTAGATCGCGGTTCTCCTGAGTTTTCTCTAATTCGGTCCGGATCAGACCAATGCCCATCCCTAGGGAGGGGGTAAAAGCCTGCATTTTTTTAAGGACGGGTAAAAGCCTCCATGAAGTAAAGTACCTTATTTATCTTTTCTCTTTTTTTATGTCGTTTAGATGTGGGAAGGAAGCCGATATTAATCAAAACTTGTAAAATTACAATATTAATATGTCATTTTGATGTCGTTTCAAGGGTCTAATAGTCATCAACATACCTCAACTGGGAGAGGAAGATGATCTTGATTTTTAGTGCAACCCTTACACAGAGAATAGAAGGTTATGCTTGCTACCTATGAGTTTGGAGATTATGCCGCAACATGGTCGGAGCAAGTTCACTTCGACGAAGAAGAAATCTGCAGCCTCCCGTTTCTACTTGGGAAGAACTCAGAGTCTTGATGCGTGATCGTTTCGTGCCTCCTTTTTATAAGATAGACCTTCATTATTCCTTGCAGTGAATTTGGCAAGGAGCTCAATCGATTGATGAATATTTCAAGGAGCTGGAACTACTCTTGATGAGAGCAGATGCGAGGGAGGACAAGGAAGCAACTATCGCTCACTTCCTACATGGGCTTAACTGGGAGATCAAGCATGAAGTCAAGCTTTGTCAGTTCGTGGAGTTTGAGAAAGTGGTGCATTTGGCTATGAAGGTGAAGAGGCAGTTGAAGGTGAGCTCCAGAAGAAGGTACCCACCGTTGCCCGAACCTAGTGCACAGAGCATTCTTGAGACATTGAATCACCCTAGGCAAGAAGGTGACAAGTCAACTGCTAGGAACACGTCCACAGTCATCCAAGCTATACATGAAGGATCAACTGGAAGCATCCAATGCTTCAAGTGCTTGGGACGAGGTCACAAGGCAAACCAGTGCCCCAACAAGAAGGCTCTAGTTCTACGAGATGGAGAATGCTTTTCCGAGGAGGAAAAAGAAGAGAAGTGATAACACTTGAATTATACATATATTCACCTACATTTTTACATCCTACAATTTTCTAAATCGTACTAAGTCCATTCGATATCCCGATTTTACGCTTGATTTTGTGTCTAAGTGATGTTTCAGGTCATTCCATCCAATAAGAAGAAAGAATGAACTAATTTTGTGTTTGGATGATAAAAAGATGGGTAGGGTTCAAAATCTAAGTCGGTGGAACTCGAGCCTACGACGTCCCAAGCGAGGACAAAGAGTCATACCACTCTGGCCGCGTCTCCTTTTGTTATCAATATACGAACCCACCTTGCATTATGATAGTAAGCCGCGAAAAAGAGCTATTTGACAATGCAGAGTCAAATTGCCCCCTGCTAAACATGACCATGTTAACAGACCACGTCAACATCAACACACCCTTCAAAATGGCCACGTTGAAGACCACATCAACAAAAGTCAAGGAGATGTCAAAGAGTTGACGTGGGCAACATCATGGCCATGTCCAAGACCACGTCATCATCAACGCACTCAACAACGTAGCCATGTTCATAGACAAAATTTAGGGGAACACACCGAGGAACATGGCCATGTTCACAGACCATGTTGAGGTCAACACACCCTCGAACACGATCGTGTTCCAGACCGTGTTGGCCTTGAACTCCTCCAGTTTCATGCACGTCGAAGAAAGAATTAAAAACTAACATGGGAACAAACATGGCCGTGTTCCCAGGGGTGTTAAGCATCTGGCCACGTCTCGCATTCATTTCAAGCATAAGATAACATTTATGACATTGTCGGTCACTTGATCTAACACGATTTTCCAAAACAGCCATTTCCAAGATGCGTCGACCAATTCCAACAGGTTTCAATCGTTCAACTGAAAGTTTTTGGCCATCTACAAGTGAACACGACATGGAACACAATCATGTTCTAGCCCATGTTCAGAAGAAAAGTCACCAACCAGTCTCTGCATGTGCTGACAAGTTGTTGTGACGACCAGCAACTAACATGGTCTGGAACACGGCTGTCTTCAATGGTATGTTCAGCCTGCTGCTGCCTATAAATAGAGACTTGCAAGAGAAGAAATGAGAGTTGGAAAATACCTTCACTATAGCCTATAAACCAGCCCAAAATCTGTCCTCCTTTCTTGTATTTCTTGCGTTATTGAGATTACCAAAGTGAGTACCCTATATGTGGGGTTTGATAATTATTTGAGGTGGTAGATTGGTCAGTTTCCACCGACTTCGCCCACGATTGTTCCCCCGTTGGTAACTTGATAGGCATAGTCTATTAACCCAATATGTATACCCTATTCTCATATCCTTCGTTCCTCGTCATCACCACCGTGCCAACGTTCTCATCTCTTCCATCCTTCATCATCAACATGCTAACTCCTTCCACCTCCATCTTTCTAAACCTCATCATGTCCGTCTAATATTCTAGTTGTTCCAGACTTGATGAACCCTAAAATGCTTTTTATGGATTAGGTGGTATCTTTGACATAAACGTGTTGTTCTCATCTTACGATCTTTTCTCGACATATCATGTGCAAGTATCAATAGTGCGCGTGTATTGTATATTTTGTCTCAGTACATGTAAATGAAAATGCAAGGTTATTTTTAATGTTAAATCTCTCGTGAGAAGAAGGAATTGATCGGAGCCACCGACAATGGGGTCACGTAGTTCCTCTAGATTAGCTTAAAAATCTAATATGGAAATTCACAAATCTGGTTAATACTTTGGTTTAAGTGTCTTATAAGCCAAGATTCACTTGATTCTTAAAGACGAGAGGGTGTTAATACATGTGCGAACGGGTTAAAACTAAATTGGGATTTTTCACGATCTAAGATTTGAAGACACGTCTATGTTGAATTCTACTTGTTTGCATAATGCATGCTGGGGGGATTCTTTTCCAAGGCAACGCCATCTCCTCTTGATTTTAATTTGAATTTGTTTAGTTGTGTTTTATTTACTGCATGTGTGAAAGACTATACCTAAAAATCAACTAAAAACGATTGACTAGATAATGGTAAAAACCTGAGTATTAGTACACATAGTCTTTGTGGATATGACCTTGCTTCCTGCTATACTGCCTTAGAACGATAGGTACCTTTGCCTATTTTTCCTGTGTTAGTTACGGGCGGCGCCGTTGCCAGGGACAAAGTTATTAGAAAAATCTTTAAACTATTAATTTAGTCGCCTTTTTTTTGTTATTTTTCATGTACACTTGTTGATTCCACGGGTTGTTCTTGTTTTTGTGCTTGAAATAGTGCATGACACGAAATCACACAAGTGGATTAGTCAACCTTGATCTGTTTCGTGGTAATCAGCTTTGCATACCACGTACTTCACTTTGAGAATTACTATTGCAAGAAGCTGATGGAGGAGGCTTGATGGCACACTTATGTGTAGCTAAAACATTGAGTTCCTAATAGGATCATTTCTACTGGCCACATATGAAAAGTGTCGTGGAGAATTTTTCTGCTAGATACGTGGAGTTCAAGCAAGCTAAACCAAAGGTGCAGTCGTCTGTATAGTACACACCACTACCCATTCCATCGGCACCATTGGTCGACATATCTATGGATTTTGTGTTGGGATTTTTGAGGACCAGGAGAGGATGACATTCAATATTTATGGCGGTGGATCAGTTTTCGAAGATGGCACATTCCATTCCATGCCATAAAACTGATGATGCAGTTAATGTGGCCGATATGTTCTTCAAAGAGGTCGTGAGATTGCATGGAATGCCACGTACCATTGTGTATGATAGAGATGCAAAGTTCTTGAGCTATTTTTGGAAGACTTTGTGGAGCAAACTTGGAGTGAAGCTCTTGTTTTCTACGACTTGTCATCCTCAAACGGTTGGACAAATTAAGGTGGTGAATCATACTTATCCCAAATGTTGCAAGCAATGATCAAAAGCAACATCAAGGTTTGGGAAGATTGACTACCACACATGGAGTTTGCTTACAATAGGGTTGTGTATTCAACGACCAAATACTCACCTTTTGAGCTCGTATATGGGTTCAATCCTCTTAAACCATTAGATATGACACCTCTACCTTTGAAGAAGCAAGTCAACATGAATGTAGCAAAGAAGGCTGAGTATGTAAAGAATCTCTATGAGAAGGAACGATTGAACATTGAGAGCAGAACAAAGCACATTATGAAGAACGTCAATAAGCATAGAAATCCTCGACACTTCAAAGCAGGAGATTGGGTGTGGGTGCACATGAGGAAGGAAATATTTCCACATTTAAGGAGATCCAAGTTGGTGCCAAGAAGTGAAGGTCGCTTCCAAGTGCTTTTGAAGGTTGAAAGTAATGCGTACAAACTTGACCTATCAGAATAGTATGGACTACGCACAACCTTCAACATTTCTGATCTGGCACCATTTTTGGATGACAATTCGGATTTGAAGGCAAATCTTTTCAAGAGAGAGGAACTGATGAGGTCATCAAGACCAAAGCTGCTCAAGAAGAAGGTCCAATAAATCGTGCAAAGACTAAGGCTTTGAGGGAGAAATTTACAAGTTATTTGGGTAAGCAATTTGAAGAGATGGAAATGGATTTGCATCGAGGAAGGCCCATCACATTCTTACAATTCATTGACCAGGTTCAAGAGAAAGTGGGCTTGAAAGAAGGAGGAAATGATTCGGCCTTAAAGAATCTCCCATGGCGTGAACACAGGTGTGAAAGGAACCACAATAGTGAACACAAGGGTGTCGAATTTGAAGGCTAGTTTTAAGGGTTGAAAGAGTCAAACTTGTTTCATTTTTCTTTGAGGATTTATTTTACTTGTTAATTAGCTTTCTTTTTATGTTTTGGATTGCCTATTTAAAGGGGACCGAAATCCATGTAATATTCATTCAAGTTTCATTAATCAAATTAAGTGTTTTCAAGTTCAATTGTGAATGAGTTGTGCGAGTCGTCTGTCAATGAGGTACAGAAGAGATCACATCTAGTTGTGGTGAGCATCTATCCTATATCAGTTGGCCCTTCCCACAGGTTCGAGATTGTTTGATTGATTTCCATCCTATCATTTTACTTTTCGTGTTACTAAAGAAAGCTGAAAACCATAAAGAGTTGGATATTGTGCAATTATGATTCATTGGTCCGAATTCTAGAGTTCTCTATAGATTGGGTCAAATCACCCCCCAAAAAGCCTGAAACACGCTCAGGACATCTTGGCTTGCCAGGTCATCCCCATGGGCTTCATTGAGGGATATTTTTTTGCTTGTGGGCACCTTGGCGAGGACGTCGACCTACTTTACCCAATTGCTGCTTTGACCTCTTGAGCCTTGTTGCCGACCTGATGCATTAATGCATCGTATGTGCCACATGCCCTAATTATTATTAGTATTTAATATTTTCATGTTAACTAATTGTTGGGATATTTTTCTCTTTGAGATATTCTTATTGGTTTATGTAGGACTAGTATTATTGATTGTGTGTTGCTTAGGAAGTGATTGCTTACTTATTGATTTAGAATTTGTTTACCTTGTTTGAGGCAAAAAGGGTTTGTGAGATTTGTACTATAAATGAGTACATTTTCCTTACGTTTTTATTCATGAATGAGAAGTAAAGTCTTAGGAGTAATTTAGTTGTAGATTTATCATGTTTCATAGTTGTTTGATGTTCATCATATTGCAAGTTTGTCGAAGTTCAACGCGTGAAACCATCACACGTCACGACCCCAAGGCTTTCCTAAAGTTAAAGGCGAAGGAGATCTAAGAACGGCCATTCAACTATGCTCTCCATGTTTAGATTCTTCGTCCAGGCCATTGCACTAAAAACACACCCTTGGAAAACTTGGCTGACTACCTTGCCTCTCTCCTTAACAAAAACATTGGGCATTAGCTACCAATTTCAAAGTCGTTTTTACTTTTGGTGATAGGTAAATTGATGTGTTGTGAACTATACATGTATAATATTATACATGTAATGAGGAAAATTGATAACACTCAAATTGGTGTTATTTAGCATATATATATTTAGGTATTTCCAGGTCATTCTGTGGTCTCAATTGTTAATAAATCGTCAAATTCATCCCGAATTTGTTCCTCGAAGTATTTTATATAATTTTAGGATGTATTAGATGATACTTGCATTTTAGGCACAAATATGAGACTCAAGTGTAGGAAAAAAGGAGCAAAACATGGCTAAAGGTCAGAGATCACGACCGAGAAGACGAACCCGAAGTCAAGCAGAAGATCACGACCTATGGAGCAAAAATCAAGCCCACGATCTAGGAGGTGCCAGCCTTGAACTTGAAGAAGCAAAAACCAAGGAATGTACATATGGTTTTGATAGTCAAATCGCAACCTCAGTTGTCCAAGACCATAAGAAAGATCGCGGCCGTGTCTTTTAGATCGCGACCATGAAGTCACAATACGAACTCCCGAGCCAGCTAGAGAAAAACGTTGTGTTTCAATATTGCAACCTCACACCCAATGTTCATGCCCATGACCTCTCAACCCTCAACGGCGAACTTGTCCGTCCTACTAAAGTCTATAAATACGAGACCCTTTTCCCTTTGAAAAGAGAGCTGAAACACTTGGATAAATTTATATTTTTAGAGAGATGTTAGAGAGAGAAGTTGAAGGAAGGAGAAGAATAAGGAGGAGGAGGAGGATCCAAGAAGGAAGGTTTTTCCAGCAATTCTCCAATCTCTAGTTTTATTCCCCATTCTTCCATGTTTATTCTCCCCCCTTTATGGGATAGTTAGTCAAGGTACTAGGGGTATAGTCCCTCAAATCTTAGTTTTAGGTTTTATTATGTAGAGGGAATTTTGTTAGGGTTTGTGAATGAAATGTGTGTACCTAGTGCTC